GGCGAGACTCCTGCGCGAGATCGACGAGATGAAGATGTCGGGCAGCTGGGACGACCCAGAGGAAGAGGAGGAGGAGGATGACGGGGACAGCTCTTTTTCCGCCGACGACAACGGCATGTTCCCCTCCTCTCCCAGGGGCGCGCAGCAGAGCCGGGACCCCGACGGCTGCGGCAGGAGCAGGCCCAGTCGCAGGCAGGACATCAGGGAGCTCGAGCACATGGTGGAGCGGATGGAGGACTGGAAAGACCTGAGCCGCTACTCCGGCAAGAGCATCAGCATGGCCTCCACGCAGCGAGGGAACGAGATGAAGATCCACATCCTCGCCTTTGCCGAGCGAGAGGACGGCCTCGGCGTTGATTTCATGTGGCTCGACTACAGGACGCCTGGAGGGTTTCTCCGAAGGGCTTAGGCGACCCGTCCTCCTCCTCCCCCTCCCCCCCCTCCCCCTCCTCCTCTCCCTCCTCCTCCTCCTCCTCCTCGTCTTCTTTTTTGGCAGCAACGCCCATGCCCCCTGCAGTGACTGACACACCTGTCCGGGGCTCAGACAGGCGCCGAGGAGCCAAGCTCCTAAAGCAAAGCGACAAAGTCATCAATGTCAACCGTCACCTGAGCTTTGTCAGGATGCAAGCCCTTCTTGAGCTTGCGCAAGTTGCGCATTGACGTGATTGTGGGCTGACCACACTCCTTGCCGAGCTTGAGAATTTGCGAGCCGCTACTGTAAAACTTGCACGACAAGCAAACACATAAATTCGAGAAGTCTGAGCAGGGGAAGGCAACGACCTTGTGCCCCAGCCTCAGCAGCACGCCTTGGTCCAACCTGGAGTGACCAGGACAGTCCCCAGGAGGAGGGGCCCGCGCCCGAGAGCCCTTAAGGCAAACTCGGCACTGCCAGAAGGGCCCAACCTGCACCCACGAGTGCCCAACCACAAGAGAAGGGTGCCGAGGAGCGGGTGGAGGCCTGGACCTGGCGGTGCCGCGAAATTCAAGACGCGGCCACAATGGAAGCACAACAGACCCAGCCTTTAAGACCAGCCGCGCAATCTTGATCTTCCTATCGAGCTCTTCAGCCTCAATCGGAGTCAAGGAGGGGTGCGCACATGCCGCCTCTTTGGCAGCCTGGTCAGCAAAGTGATTGCCGAGTCGTCTGAAACGTTCACTGGCTGAGATGCCACTTTCATCGACATCCCTGTGGGCCGCTACTTTGTGAAGCGCACACAGGTGACTACCAAAATGGTGCTTGCCTTGCAACACAAGACCTGTGTATTGCCTTTTGCCACTAAGCGCATCAGCACCTAGCGCTACGTGGTCCACAACATTCTGACAATCACTGTAGCACACGGACGGAGCATCGGCATAGGCCCCGCAGAACGCGAAAGCAGCATACTCGGCAGCCTGGGGAGTCTGTGGCCAGGGGGCCCACACAGGCCCCTTCAGAACACATAGGAACTCGCCATCATTCCCCACCATAGCGACAGCCCAGCCCGCACGAGACAGTTCTTTAACCACATGTCTGTGGCCAGAGCCGTCCATAAACAGATATCCCCACAAGCTATCCCCTGGAGCCACCCTGTCAGCACCGCACGCGGGAGGAGGAGGTGGGAGGTCCTCGACGTGCCACACAAGAGAGACACCACCATCACACAGAGGCTTTGGGGCAACATCTCCTGGGTGACGGAACGCCCCATATAGAAACAACTCTTCCTCATATTCAGTGTCCGATGTATCACAGGCGGCATCCACAAGCCAGTCGGGAAGTACTCCCTTGCGCATCTCGACGACCGCCGAGCAGCAAAAAAGACGATGATGCAGGGTGTCCTTCGCTACACCACACAAGGGGCAGAGACTGGACACCTCGACGTATCCAGCCGCCTCAGCATCTGCTCCTGTCCAAAACGCCCGACAAGCTTGAGCTCTCATGACACCCTTGGCCTTGGCAGGGATCTTGGACGACGAGAGCTGCTGCTTGACAGCGTCCCAACAGAGCCGATACCCCACCCCGTACTTGTCTCCAGAATCCCGCTCAAGGTTCCTGAGCACCGCGTCACGACACAAGACCTTGACAAGACGGGGGGGGGAACACGTCAGCGAAATGTCCCTACCAAAGTCGTCCCTGAGGGTGGTAAAATCAGGCATATCCCACCCCAGACGGTAGATACACATGCGGAGAGCCGAGAGCGGCCCGCGAACCTTGGACCACGAGTGAAAGTCGTGGCTGAAGGTCTGTATCCAGCCCTCTCGCATAGCCGCCCAAGACAAACACCACGGGAAAGCACGAGTGTGACAAAGCCAGATTTCTTTCGACCATCTGATTATCGGCGCCACTCTCGCTCGCCAGCACGGGTCTCCCTCGAGCAGGCTGAGCACAACAAGGGATCGCCCTTGCGAGCGTGGCTTGATACAAGACAAGGCAGCACGACGCAAGGTCAGGAGCTCTCCATCGGACACCCCGAAAATGTCAGACCCGAAGGTACCGCCAGCCAAAGGCCCAGCAGCAAAGACCTTCAAGCTGCGCCTCCCGAGAACGTCCCCGATCTTTCTGAGCCTCCTGGTCTTGCGAAGCGCGGGCGCGATACGAGCTTTAAACTTGGCCGCACGGCCTCGGCCAGGAGCCCTCAAGGAACGGCCCGCCGTGTAATCCACCCCCAAGTTCGTAACTCTACCAACGCCCACACCTTGCCCAGCCAGGGGCCCAAGTTTCTGGAGGAGCTGGGACGCGACATCATTGTTGCTAGCAACCATCCCCACTTTGTCCATGGCGAGCAAGCGCTGCAGCTCGTCAGTGATGCACTTGTGGAGCGCTCGGGCTCCGCCCACAAGCGCTCGAACGACCTGCCTGGCGCTGCCCGTGCAGCTGAGACCAAGGTCACCAACGTACGCGTCGAAGTCCAAGCCAGGCGACCGAGGGAGCGAGTCGAAGCTGGCAAGCGCGAAAACCCTGATCAAGCTGGTGGCAAACGAGCAGCCCGCCACGATGCCCCTGGTGACGAAATACGGTCCTTCGGCAAAGCCCCCAAGGGCCAGGTACCTGGCAGTAGCATACGCTCGAATGGACAGCCTAGCAATGCCGAGAGGAAACCCATGCTGACGGCATCTGACAAAGAGTAAACGAAGGTCGATGTGCTCATAATACTTCCGAAGATCCCAGAAAATGGAGGCCGACACTTCACCGCGGCTGAGTCCCGCCTCGGCCTTAAAGGCTTGCCGCCAAACCACGCCAGAGGCGCCCCTGTTGGCCCCCGCCGCCAAGAAGCCCCTAGGATGGTTGACTTCCCAGCGCTGCGCAAACGACCGACGGGCCCGCCCCCAGAGGCGGTACCAACTGGGAAAGACCCCGATGGGCCGAAAGCCCCCAGTGGGCTTGCCTAAAAGGGCCAAGAGAACCCAAGAAATCTGCTGCGGCAGGGAGCCAGTGGCCTCCATGACACAAAACCAGAGGGCGAGGCAGTGAAGGGCCTGATCACAGAGAAGCGAGAAATGTCTGCAATGAAAACCATCAACACTCACAGCGCTGGACAGCCGATACTTCTTAGAAAAGGCCCGCAGCTCAGAAGGCTGAAGGACAGGCAGGGGTTCGAGAAACGAGTCATCAAAGCCTATCCCGTCACCTTCCCCCCAATAGACGCAAACTTGTCGGCCTCGGCCTTCAAGAGGGCCATGGGGTCGGCAACAATGATGCCCCCAGACGTGAGCGTGGTCGTGGGGTTCCAGGGCTCAGGGTCTCGAATGGCACGCTGGGCATTTCGACTGCCCTTATCCAATCCTTCTCGAACCCATTCCTGCCAATACGCCTTAGACCTGGCAGCAGCCGCGACCTTAGCCTTCAAACATGCCTGATCGACCGAGTCGAGCAAGGCTTCGAGATCCGCGCGCAGAGAGCCAACAATGGCACTAGGCCCCAGGCCAGCAGGATCGCAGAGACCGACATCGTCGCCCGACTGACCAGGCAACTCACACGAGAGCGATCCCCCTGAACCACCTTGGCTAGGAGGTTGTCCAGACCGAAAATCGAAGCCGCGCTGGGAAGAAACGTGGGGACGGGAGAGATTCAGGCTGCGGGCAGCTAAGCCAGCACTAGCCTGAAAGACCTGGTGCCAGTCGGAGTCGTCCTGTACAGCTACCTCGACTGGCACTGATACAAGGTCGAGAGCCACGCCTCGACCAGCAGGTGGAGGAACCGCACCATCACACATCAGGTAGCTCCTGAGCGCTCGAAGTTGAGCAGCCAACCACGTGATGGACCTAAGGCTGGGACCCTTGACTTTGCCAGCGGGTTTAATGACCGATTTCCACACAAGTTTGGGGCGTTTACCCCTCATGCCGAGGGCGGGGAGCTCAACCCCCAAAACCTTGGCCAAGTCAGACTCGGCCGCGTTGGCCCACAAGCGATATCCAGGCGAGAGAAGGTCCATGGCGTTCTGCAGATCTCCCGACAGAGCAGCCCTGTGCGCAGCTTCGGCCTTGGCGAGAGCCTCAGACCAATCCCCAGGACACGGCTGAGGCCCCGCAGGCGCAGACGAGGGCAAGTCGGGGGGGCGGCGGAACGCGGGAGCTTTCAGAGAGCCGAGGGACGGGTGAAATTTGATGGTCGCAGGCTTATGCGGGGAAATAGCCGACTCCATGACCACTCTAACTTCCTGCAAGCACCGCCCCAAGGCTTCAGAGAGAACGAAAAAATCAAAGGTGTCAGGCATACCCCCTCCAGAGGGGAAGTGGGTGTGCCCTTCAGCAGACACAATGACCCCTTTCAGAAGCTCCGCAAAGTTGGTTTCAAACAGGACCCCAGGAGAAAAAATAAAACCGCCAGCCACAACGAAGTCGCAACCCTGGGACTCAAGAAAGACGCCGACAGACCGAAGGATTTCCATGTTGGCTTCCGACAGTCCTTGGGAGTGAACCAGGTAGACCGACACGATGGCGAACGGAGCACAACCAGGAACGTGAACCATAGCGGCAACCGCTCGTCCTTCAGCAAGAATCACTTCAGAAGCTTCATAGCATCCGAGTCCGTCACGGGCCGCCACAACTACTCCAGAAGAAACACCACCTCCATCGCCGTGCACCCCAGGCGCCCAAACAGTCTTGAATCCAGCATGCTTGCGAATCTCCGACTTCTGGTCGATGTCAGAGGCTCTGAGGCGGAGCTCTTGGCCAATGACAACGTGAGCCGAGGTGGACTCCAGAAACTTGTAGAACGTGCCCCAAGAGTTACCGTTGACGGTGGCTATCTCCAGCTGGAAATCTGAGGACCCAGAGGGAACAGGCAAAGGAACGGGCCTCGGGGGCTCCAGGGGCTTGGGTCCAGGGACACCTTGGACTTCGGAAGGGACCAATGGCGCAACCCAAGAATTAGCCTCGGGAGTGGCGGCTCGGAAGACAGACTGGAACCTCTTAAAAAGCCTGGTGCCAGAAACTCTGGATTTCGAACCTATGACCGAGGTTCGAGAGGCAAAACAATCAAACACGGACCGAATTCCATCTACACACAAATCACGAAAGCAAGAAAGATCCCCCCCCCTCAAGACGAGGGGGAGGCACCACCTGACTCACTGACATGAAGAGCAGCATCTGCACGTGCACGAATGTCAGCTGGCGGCACCTCGCCTGGCACCTGCTGGCTGCACTCCGCCGACGTGGGGGGATCAACTTCTCCACTTGGAGCAGCTGCTGCAGTGGCCTCAGCACTGCCGACACCCCCGCCAGCTTCATGAAGTCCATCTTCACGCCTGCGGCGCTCGCCATCAACACGAGCCTTATGCGCTTGATGTGCAGCCTGGGCGGACTTGGCCTGGTCCACTGCCTTCTGGAACAGCGTCTAGGCCATGTCCGCGATGCCCTGGGACAGAAGCGCTGTGCGCTTCTGCATCTCCTCGCGATCCTCAGCCGACAACTCGAGCTCGTCATCGTCCCCGAAGTCCTCGAGAATGTCGCAGCTGATGATGGAGCCGATGTCCACAGAGCCAGACAGCAAATCCTCGAGCTTGAGCTTGGCCTTCTCAACATTGGGCACGACCTTCGAATCTGCCGCCAGCTTCTGGACCGCTCCCTTGTACACCCTGTCGGCTTCCTGCAACTCGCCTCGCACACGCTTGACCTTCTCGTTCTGCTCTTGAACCTCAGACTGCATGCGGAGAAGCCTCGCCAGATCGCCCTCCAGCTGCTTCTCAAGACGGCGAACGAGCGAATGGTGCTGCTGGGCAGCCTGATGAGCCGAGACAGGCTGCTTAGCACGTTCCTCAGACGCCGCAAGCGACTTCGCAAAGGAAGAATACTTGGTGGCACCGACCTTGTCACCTGCCTTCTCACAAAGACGAGCCAACTCCGACGCCTCCTCCTTGGACAGGTTGGGCGCAGCTCCCACAGGCAAGGGCGACGACTGGCCTGCCCCGCCAGGACCGTGCTGAGGTGCTCCGCCTGCCCATGAACCAGCCCAGCCGCCAAGACCCCAGCCCTTGCCTCCACCGCCCTTGCCCCCCTTGCCGCCAATGCCGCCGCCTGAGAAGCCTCCACCTTTGCCCCCCATGAGCGGGCCGTGGTGGAAGAACGAACCAGGGGGCGATGCAGGGCGTGCCCAGGACCCTTGAGCAACAGGTGGATGACCAACAGCGAGGCGAGGCAACAGAGCACTGCAATGGTAGCAATGAGAGTCGTCAGGGGCATTCTTCTTGCAACCGCAGCCTGAGCAAACGACACCCTGGCCTTGCATCTTCTTCCCCTTACGACCTCCTTGAACAATAGTCCACTCATCAGAACGCACCCACGGCGCATACGAGAAAGCAGCGGGCGCTGGAACCATCGAAGGACAATGTAGGGAGGAGAAACAGGGTTCCGTACACAGGACGTAATAGTGAGTATGGTCCTGGCGGGCAAACGCCAGGTAGAACAGACGGGGCCGCGAATCCCCACGCCACTAAACCCAGAGTCCCTTGAGCAATGCCTCCGGACTTGAGCCAAAATGGCTACGGACCTCCTCGTCCTCCTCCTCCTCCTCCTCCTCCTCCTCCTCCTCCTCCTCCTCCTCCTCCTCCTCCTCCTCCTCCTGCTCCTCCCACTCCCCCTCCTCCTCCCCCTCCTCGCCCTCCTCCAACCCCTCCTTCCCCTCCTCCTCCTCCTCCTCGTCCTTTTCTCGCTTCTTGTCCGCTTGCCCTCTTCGCGTCTCTTCTTGGGTACCCTGACTCATCTTCCTCCTCCTCCTCCTGCTCCTCCTCCTCCTCCTCCTCCTCCTCCTCCTCCTCCTCCTCCTCCTCCCCCTCCTCCTCCTCGGGTCTCCTACGGCCCCGGGGGAGACCGTGCGAGGAAGTCCGTGGAGGTGCGGTCGGAGAAGCAGAGGCCGCCGGGCGGCGTGCTGCACGCGGTCTGGGCCGCCCTGCCGTTCCTGCGGGAGCCGCGCGGCGACCCGGAGGCGCGGGAGAAGCGGTGGGTGGACCTGCTGCGCCGGCCAGACGTGGCGAAGTTTGCGATCGCCTTGGCCTTCAAGAGCGCGCTCTCCAGCGTCAGGTCGGGCCTGTCCCCCCACAGGAGGGAGGCTCAGAGGTGGTGAAAAGAGCATCGTCTGGGGACGACGTCTGGACCATGCTTGACCCTGTGGGAGCATTTTCGGACGAACTGTTGCAGATCGTTCGTCCAAAATCCGCCCGTGGGGGGAGTGGGGGGGTGGGGGGGGGCCTGCCCGACCTGACTCCAGCGATGGCGTGCACCTGGAGTTCTGCGACGGCTCCCTGAGGGAGGCGGACGCCGCAGGGGCGGCCTGAGTTTAAGGGCGGGCGCGGGGCCCTCGGGGCGGAGGCAGGGGCCGCGGGCCTGCTGAGCAGGGCCGCGCGGACGGGGCGGGGGCCTACGGGGGCGAGAGGTCGGCGGAGGCATTGCCAGAGAGACAGGTAGGGGAACAAAAAGTGGCAGGAACACAAAAGCTCGGAGGTCCGCGCGGGTTTCTCGGATCGGCGCTGGACCCCCCTCCCTGGCGCGCGGAGCGCGCCAGGGGCGGCGCTGGAGGCGCCGCTGGGGGGCCCCGGCGCCGATCCGAGAAGTCCGCGCGGACCTCCGAGCTGTTATGTTTATGCCAATTCTTGTTCCCCTAACAAGTGCCCAGGTTGCCCGTGTTCTACCATCAGCCGTCTGGGATCCGAAGTAGGCAGCATACCGAGCCCGCGTCGGGCAGACACGATGTCGATGCAATAGTTTGCCGCTGTCTCTCGTAGCACTAGTAGCGCTCGCCGCGCGCATTCTACGTAGGGCCTTGCTGGTATGGCGTGGTGAATCGGGCTGGCGGGGTTCATCGATCCGTGTTCGCGTGTTGGAGGGGACCTGGCATCGCTTCAGAATTGTTGAATTGTTCAGTCACTGTCTGTGTACGCAGCCGCACTTCCCGAAGGCTTTGCTCGGGGTGCGACAGCTGATTGATCCTCATGGCGACAGATAGTTCCTGCGCCAGTCTTACCAGTCTTCGCAACCCACCGTCCTCCTCCTCCTCCTCCTCCGCCCACCTCTTTCCCTCGTCTCCTCCCTCCTCTTCTCCCCCCCTTTCCCCTGACGCGGGCGAGGGACACTTCCCGCGCCCTCTCTCGCAGCTGCTCGTCCCCCCCCCCCTCTTGTCTGCAGAGATCGCGCCTGCGTCGCTCTGTTCCGCGATGCGCCGCCTAGAGAAAAAAACAACAAAGTGGTCGAGCGCTGCGCGGGAGCCGCGCTAGGCTGACGATGCACTCTGCGCAGACCCACCTGCTGCACGGGCAAGCTGGCGGTGCCCTGTGTTGTGCCGTGCCGATGTGTGGCGCATGCGCCTCCGTCTCTCCGGCGTGAGCGTACCAGAGCGCATGTCCCCTGTAGCTGCACGGTCCCTGGTGGTTGCCACCTTTGCTCCCGGCACGGCGCAGGGTTTCTTGTGAATGTCGTCCAGTGAAGCGCCGTAGAGCCCAGGGATACAGACGAAACCGCTGCTAAGGATCAGCCAGCTTTCCCTGGCAGCGCCCCCGCCCTTGCTTCCTTGACGCCGAGGCGGGGCAGACGGCGTGGCCTGTCAGCGGTGTTGCCGGTCAGCGGAGCTGGATGGTCTTTGCGACAGTCTATGTTTACCAGCCTGGAACATATCCCTATCCCTATGCTGGGCACCTCCTCATCACGATGCCAATCTCAGGGATTGCCTTATCTTTTGAGGGCGAACCCCTAAGTTTGTCATCGCCTTTTGGCGTGTCAATCTTAGGGATGGGGATACGTTTGAGGCTGGTAATATGTCCGAGGCAGGCGCCGAGGGCGGCACGACGAGATCTCTGCCGGAGGGCGCACGCAGATGCACAGACCGGTCTTGCCCACAGGGCCGCGTCGCGCCACGCCGTCACGGGCCGCACCGGTTGGGACCAGCGTGGCGGCGTGCGGGGCTCTGCAGCAGGGCTGGGCCTGAGCGCTGTTTTGCGAGACTTCGGCCGTGTTTTATTCCCAACCATCCTGTGGTGTTGGGTCCTCGTTTTGAAGAGAGGTCGCCCCGCGTTCCTTCTCCTCCTCCTTCCTCCTCCTCCTCTTCCTCCCCCCTCCTCCCCCTCCCACACCCATTCTGGCACACCCCTCACACGTTTCGTGGCCCCATAGGGAGCGCTGTTTTGCCGTTTTGGGAGGAGGGGCAGGAACCCAGTCTGAGCAGAACAAAACAACAACACGAAACCACAAGGGAAAGCAACGCTTGGGCCCAGCCATGCTCTACAGTGTAAACCCGCATAGGAGGGATGGGCAACACTTCCAGGGGTACCCTTGCATCCTTGCCTCCGCGGTCCATCCTTCGCCGCGTTCCTTGGCCGCGCCCCTCTCGAAGAGCTTCGAGATGGGCGTCCAATGCCCTTGCGTCCTTATCGCGCATCCTTGCGATACGGGGGACTGTATCTGATGGCTGCTCTTCTTCACGCGTCGGGGCTCAGCGTCAGCGGGGGGCAGCCCATCCCCTCTGTCTGACCCGGGTCCTTTGGGTTTTTATCTCCTCCCCTCCCCTTGAGCAGGGGAACGAAGAATAACACAAACATAAAACACTAGGAGGTCCGTGCGCATTCCTCGGATCGGCGCCCCTGTCGGCGCCTCCGGCGCCGCCATTGGCCGCGCACCATTTAGGGGGTCCAGCGCGGATCCAAGAAATCCGTGCGGACCTCGGAGTGCTTATGTTTCTGCTACTTGTCGTTCCCCTTACGTATGTCAGGCGATCGCAATAATGGATCAAGGGAGCGTGTATCAGCGACTGGTCCCGTTTCCATGAGAATTCGCAGATTCCCGCCGCCGAACGGGACGACCATGGCCGCATTTTGGGGAGGGCACCTCCCCCGATCCATGGATTTGGCGACCGCGCGCCAAATCCATGGATCGCTAATCCATGTTTACGCCTCCCCGATTCGCGGCGTCACCCCAACATACTTATACTATATGGGCGTCGCCCTGCCAGGGGCGATGCGCGCACCGAGAGATCTTATAGTATATGCGTTGGGCGGGCGCCTTCTGGCCACGACGCTCGGGAAACGATATACTACAAGATGGGTATGCCACACGTTTGGGTCGGACGCGCGCCTCCAAAGAGGACATATAGAATTGGTATGTCTTTGCGCGCCCCCGATTGTTGAGACCTCCGCCCCTCCGCCCCCGCCGCTCCCAGGCGGAGGGCGGCGAGGATGACTTCTGCCTCGGCGCCCCTCGCCTCCCAGGCAGGGGAGGATTGGAGGATTGGGAGTCGGGGAGTGCAGGGGAGGGAGGAGGAGGAGGAGGAGGAGGAGGAGGAGGAGGACTCATGAGAGACCGTCTTGAGCTTACTTGTGCGGCCGCCTTGCACAAGGTTCCGTGGATTTAAATTGTACAGCGTGAAGTCGGCCACGGGTTGAAAAATTCAAGACCTGCCTGAGGTTGAGGTGGCTCTGAAAAAGCAACATATTGCCGCCCATGTCTTGGACAGTTGCACGCTTGGACAGCACATCAGATGGGAACCGTTTACCATGGAGAGCGTGTCCATGGACACGCTGGAGGGGGAACTGAGGGACCGAAGGTGGGGAGTTTGTGAGGCAGCACACTGCCATGTTAGGATTGACGGGAAGGTGCCTACTTGGCAGTGTGATTTGCATTCGGGATTTGATGATGTGCTGGTGAGTGCGTACACACAGGAGTGGAGGCATGGGTTGCTGTGCAGTGATGCGGGGAAGTGTCTCATGTATTCGAGTTCTGGAGGCCCTTGGACCCGTTCCCTGCATTGTAATGGCTTTCGCTCATCTTTTTTGTTGTCGGCCTCCGTGTTGGACTTGACCCCTGATGTCTAACTGCACGTGCTCTGCAGCATCGCTCTTCAGGAGCACTCCAGTCCTTTTTTCCCCTGCCCTGTTCCCCACACCTAGGAGAGGCTTCGATTCGAACTGGCCTTTAGTTCCGACCGACCGACCGACCGACCGAGGCGGAGGAGGAGGAGGAGGAGGAGGAGGAGGAGGAGGAGGAGGAGGAGAGGAGGAGGGGGAGGAGGGGAGGAGGAGGAGGAGGAGGAGGAGGAGGAGGGAGGAGGAGGAGGAGGAGGAGGAGGAGGAGGAGGGGGAAGACTGTGAGGGCTGTCGGCCCGTCGCGAGGGGCCTTCTGCTCCGGCTCCTGCCGCTCCTGCCGCTGCGCCTGCCGCGGCTCCCTCCCCTGCGCCTGCGGCTTCTGCTCCTGCTCGCGATATCCCCGCGGCCCTGCTTTTCCCCTCCTCCACCTCCTCCTCCTCCTCCTCCTCCTCCACCTCCTCCTCCTCCTCCTCCTCCTCCTCCTCCTCCTCCTCCCTCCTCCTCCTCCTCCTCCTCCTCCTCCTCCTCCTCCTCCTCCTCCTCCTCCTCCTCCTCCCCGCCAGCACCGTCACCGTCCAGCTTCGTGTCCTCCTTGCCCACCTCCTCTTCTCCTCGCTCCTTCTCCTAAGCGTCCTCCCGCAACCTGCTCGACGCCCCCCCCCCTCTCCAGAGAGGGCCGCGCAGGCTAGGATTGGCCCGAAGCGGCCTCCCTCGATTCCAGGCCGCTGGGGGTGGTGCTGATTTCGTTAAATGGGGACGGCATCATCCTGCTCCTCCTTGTCCTCCTCCCTCGCCTCCTCCTCCTCCTCCTCCTCCTCCTCCTCCTCCTCCTCCTCCTCCTCCTCCTCCTCCTCCTCCTCTCTCTCCTTCTCCTCCTCCTCCTGGCGATGACTTGCACACGCACGACCAGCGCCGAGGTTTCGTGCTTTTCCGAGGTCGTGCTCCGACCATGTTGTCCTCAAGGCAGCCCGAATGCAACTCGAGATTGCAAAGCCCAGGGATCGATTCGCTTCGCTCCGAGCCCAGCAGCGTCCTCCCGCGTAATTGTCGTCTCCGCCCCTGGACGGGCCTCCAGGGCCACGAGCCCTCGTCATGCTCCTCCTCCTTCTTCTTCCCCCGAATTTATTGTCATGATCTTTCTCCATCTCCTCCGAATCCGCCGCGGCGTCGTCATCCTCTTCCCCCATGTCGACTGGTCCTCTTAGACTCCCATGACCATCCCCAACCACCAAGCGCGTCAAAGAGCGCTTCAACAGCTCAGTCACCCTAGACCTACCCAAGACTCATGGTGCTCCTCTTCATCGTACTCCTCTGTCGGTCTGACTTGAAGACTGCTGTTTCCTCGGCCCATCCGAAGCACGGAGGAACAAGCACCAGTAGAGAGCGTATCGTATTGCGTCCTTCTCTTCTTCCCTGCCCCTCCTCCTCCTCCTCTTCCTACTCCTCCTCCTCCTCCTCCTCCTCCTCCTCCTCCTCCTCCTCCTCCTCCTCCTCCTCCTCCTCCTCCTCCTCCTCCTCCTCCTCCTCCCTCTCTCCTCCATCTCCCTCCTCAGCCCCCCCCTCCCCATTTTAAAACCTCCCTCCACCCCTCCTCCTCCCTCATCCTTCCTCCTCCCCCATTCCTCCCCTCCTCCCTCCTTCTGCGCCGACAGCGGCCTTGCCCATCATCCCTTTCATCTGGCCGCCGTGCTCACAGGCGACTCGGGCTCTGCGGGAAGCTCCTCGCCACCTGACAGTTCGCGCGACGCACTGGCGGAGGAGGCGTTGGGGGCCGGAGGAGCAGGGGTTAGGAGGAGGACAAGGAGGAGGAGGAGGAGGAGGAGGAGGAGGAGGAGGAGGAGGAGGAGGAGGAGGAGGACAAGGAGGAGGAGGATGAGGAGGAGGAGGAGGAGGAGGATCTGGATGAAGAGGAGTGGGTAGGGGTGCATGGGGACTGAGGGAATGGGGAGAAAGGATGGGCATGATTAGCAGGAGGAGGTTAAGGAGGAGGAGAAGGTTTGCGCAGGGTTCTAGTGCTCTGGAGTGGGTCTTCTAGATGGTTTGGGATGCTCTAGGCTGTAGAGGGTGCTCGGCGGGTCCAGGTTGTGGTTGGGACAGGACGTCGGGCTGGGCGACGAGGAGGACGAGGAGACGCAAGATGGTGAGGAGAAGTATGAGAAGGAGGGCGACGACTTCTCAACATCAACGTAGGGACCTTGCCGGCCACCAGGAGGCCTTGCCCACTGAGTGCGGGGTGGCGAGGCCAGAGCCAGGTCCAGCAGCCTTTGGGTGCAGGACTCTCTGCGACTTGCGCCACTACGCGGACAGGGCAGACCCTCTGGACGAGCCCCGGTGCAAACAGGAATCGCACCGCACACGGGCAGCAAACTCATGAGCATCTGGGCACGGAGCGAACTCTACAGTTCCTCTCGCAGCCTTGCGGCCTCGGCGGAAGGGGCTCGGCCGACCCCGCCGCCATTCTCGAGAGACATGGTCTGGCGGACGAGCGACACTCTTGAGAGGCACGCTCTGCATGTCCAGGGGTGGATGGCCCCCTCGCTGAGATGCCGTGGGGCTGGCACCCCGGGCCCTCTGCCCTGGGTGGTTGTCCGCTGCAGCCGGGCAGCCTTCCGGGCTCAGGCGGGGCCAGCGCGGAAGCAGGCCAGCCGCCAGCCGAGAGAGGACGGGCGCAGCCACGTCGGTGCGGCGGTCGACCCGATCATCCCCCCCTCGTCGACACGGTCGGGTGTGAACGCGTCAAGCCCAGCGCGGACAGCTTCGTCGGCATACGAGGGCCCACGCCTGCGGGCACTCACATCGTCCAGCAACCTTGGCTGCGAATGGCCAGGGGGATACTTCGGCCTGTTTGCGAAGAGGACGACGGGGGAGGGAAGGGCGAGCTAACACGAACAGCAGTTTGAGGCGCTGCGTGGTGCGGCCTGCCACTGCGGAACGGGGGTGCAGTGGGGTTGCGGGCAGGGATTGGGATACGTGGAATACATAGGAGGATGGGGAGGTAGAGGGGGATGCGGAGGAGGAGGAGGAGGAGAAGGAGGAATGGGAGGTATGGGGGCGGGAGAACGCAGCGGCCGGGCGGGCGGGGGGTGAATACAAGGAGGATCAGGGAGAGTAGGGATGAGGAGGAGGGGCGGGCGGGGGGATGATCAGGAGGAACAGCAGGATGAGGAAGGAAGGGTCGCACGACCAGGAGGAGGAGCAGGACCAGTGTGAACCGAAGACTCATCACCGATGATGTTGAAATGGACCCTTCTTCCAAGCTCCCTCTTCACAGGCCCCTGCAAGGGTTGATTTCCGCTCAGGCAAGTGCTCCGCTAGGAGACAACAGTTGGAAGATCCTGAAGCGTGCCAGAACACCATTTTCTGAACTTCAATGCCGTGGATGCGTCTTCAAGATCCCGAATCGTGCCGGAACGCCATCCCTGGGATCTCAACGTCGCGAATCAGCGCAATTGCCGCGCCCTGGAAATTTATGAACCATTGCAGATTTTCAAGTCTGGTTCGTCAACCATGGGAACCAGTGACACTTTCGTAACATGTTACAACGAATGCGCGCGGCGCTAAGGCGAGGGCCACATCTTGAAAACCACCCGCCCTCAATTCATGAAGCTTCTGCATCTGATTAAGACGAATAGAAGTGGCGCTGAGGCGAGAGCCACATCTTGAAAAGCACCCGCCCCTGAGACGATGATAGGCCAGAAGGAGGCTAGGAAGGAGGATCCTGGAATGGTGGGGAGATGTCTGGCATTTGCTTGCTATCTTGGGGGCAAGGAGGATTCATGAGGGAGGATAAGGGGGAAGATAAAGTTGAGGGAGGCGCAGAACAGAGGGGGGGGAAGGAGGAGGAGGAGGAGGAGGAGGAGGAGGAGAAGGAGGGTGATGAGGAGGACAATAGCGCCCGTGCCCAACGGCGTCAGCGCCGTCGGACACGGCGAGTCTGTGAAATCGGGCGATTTTTGGGTACGGACGGGGCTCTTTGCTCCGTAGCCTGTGTGGGGAGCAGTGCCATACATGGTTGTTTACATATGGGAGCGTCGTCCGTATAGGGTCCAGGAGAGAGCCAATGGAACACCATCATAACAAACTTCGAAGGTTCGTGCAGATTTCTCTGGTCGGCCTTTTTTCCCCAAATGTGTGAGTCAAGGTATGTCCTTGTTTGGTTGTCTTTGGTCATGGAAGCAAGACGTTGACTATTCCACACCCTGGCAGGCCCTGGCGGCATCCGTCGCGGACCAGCTGGGCGAGCTGCTGATCATGAACAACCTCGCAGCGCGGCTCGGTGCCCAAGGCGTCTGGCGATTCTCGCCCATGACCTCCCCGTTCCTGCTCCTGCTACGCCTCCGTCTCCGCCTCCTTCTCATCCTGCTCCCCTCCACCCTCTCACACTTCTCCTCGTTGTCCTGCTCACCCTCCTCCTCATCCTCCTCCTCTTTCTCCTCAGCCCTGTCCTCGTGCTCTTCGCTCTCCGCAGGCCCTTCTCCCATCCTCCTCGCCCTCCTGCCTCCTCCTCCTCCTCCTCCTCCTCCTCCTTCCTCCTTCGCCCCGCGCCTCACCCTGATTCACCCTCGCGTTCCGCCCTCCCCCTCCCCTCGTCGTTCTCCTCCTTCACCCCGCCCTCCTGGTCGCTCGCCCCATCCCCTCCTCTATCGTCCTCCCTCCTCCCCCGTCCGTCTCCAGCGCCCGCTGCCGCCTGCCCTGCCTCCACTGGCCCCCCCGAGGAACGGACGGCGTGAGGTCCCTCTCGTCGCCTTCCCCCCGCGCGCGCGCGAGGCAAGCTCAGCGAGGCGGCGGTCGTGTTCCGGGAGGCCCTGGCCGGCAGACGGGCCCTGCTGGGCGCCCCGCCCCGCCCCCCGCCCCCCCGATCGGCGCCGAGGCCGCCGGCGGCCGGCGCTAGGGACTGCAGGGCACGACGGCGGCGGCGAGGAGCAGGAACCGGATGTGCAGGGTCACCACCCACCAAACCACCCCAACCCAACCCGAAGGCCTCAATTTGGCCTCCATTTCCAGTGGGGGGGGGGTCGGGGAACATTGAAAGCCACAGGTGGAACCCTTACCCCCCCCAACTTTCGGGTCTTCGGGTTGGGCCGGGGTGGTCTGGTAGGGAGTCACAGGGGGGCCACAGGTGTGAGATCGGGGCCAGTTTGGGGGAGGGTGCCCCTGCTGCTCTTCGTGGTTGTTGGCCGTTCTTGTGCACCCCCTTGGGCGGTTGCAGTTGGATGTCCTGTGTGTCTTGGCTGGCGGAGGGCCTCATGTTTTTGATGGATGTTCTTCTGACCTGGGTCCGCTTGCACCCCACGAGCCGACCTCGCGCCAACCCCGAGCAGACAGCATGTTGGGACGGATCATCGTCAGCGTCGTTGAAGCATCCAGGTCGCCCACGGAGACGGTCTTGCTTCGCGCGTCGCGCTCTGGGTCTGAGCGGCTGCCCTTCTCCAGGGGGCTGGCGCGAGACGCTCCAGGTCGTCGAGAAGGACCCGAAGGGTTCCAGGACGCAGGAGGAGGAGGAGGTTCCAGGTCAAAGTTCCAGGCGGCTGCCGAGAGGCGACCGCCCTCTCAGAAGCCTGCCCTCCTCCCCCCTGCGTGCCCGGAGGCAGTCCTGTGCAAGGGGGCCGCGGCCGGCGGTCCCTACCGTGGTGGCCCCCGGGCACGGAGGGTGGGCAGCACCCAGGGGGCCGACAGCGTGAAGCCGGGCTTGTCCCTCTGCTGGAGGAATATTCAAAAGTAGTCCAAGCATAATTTGGCGACGATTTTCTTTTTGATTAATCGCTTCGCTCATTCCGCCAGCCCTCGAGCGCTCTATGGGGCATCTTTGGCCTCTTTGAAGCCTCTTGGGGGCCTCTTTGGGGCCTCCTAGGGGCCTCTTGGGGGCCTCTTGGGGGTCTCTTGGGGCTCCTTGGCGGGGTCTTCGGGCCCCCTTGAGCCTCTTGGGGGGCTCTTGGCGACGTTTTTCTTTGATTTTGATAATGTGTGAGCATGTCTGCAGCATTGTTTGTTTTTTGACGTTTCGTCCAAGTCCCCCCTTGTAGGGGGACATGCCCGACCCCTAGCCATGGCGACCTGGGCACTGAGGCTGGGCAGCACCCAGGGGGGCCGACAGCGCCGTGCAGCCATCCGTCCAGGCTGCGGGCGGGCGCGCCGTGGCGGCGGGCGGGGGGCGCGGCGGCGGAGCCAGGGCGGGCACCACGCGCTGCAGCCCGTTGCGGTTGCTGCTGTTGGCGCTGGTGCCGCCCAGGAGGGGGAAGAGGAGGCGGCGGCGTCGATTAGCGTCCGGGAGTCGATGACATGGCGCCGATTTAGCGTCGATTAGCGGCGGTTCAGTGTCGATCAGCGTCGATTCGCAAGAGCCGACAAGATGGTATGAAAGGCTCCTGTGAGTTGGAAGGTGGTGGTGGAGGTCCGTGCCTGGTCATCGCTCGGACGTGTGCATGTATTTTCGGCGAAGACCATCGAGATGCAGCTTGGATCATCTTGCGGAAAAAAAGAGAGAAGACGCGCACGAAGCCGAAGCATGCATGGGAATGGACGTCCGAGCGATGGCCAGGTGTGGAGGAGGCTGAGGAGGCACTCGGGGACCGAATTAGGCACTCGGAACAATAGAAGGAGAGGGAGGGAGTGAGGGAGGGAGAGATAGAGAATGAGAGAGAGAGGGAGAGATAATCATCCCGACGTCTAACGAGAAAGAGAGAGAGAGAGAGAGAAATAGGCTAGATGTATGTAGGTATGTGTGTATATGTATATATATTCAAAAATGTACATTTCTAGGCGTATACATATACATACATCTATGAGAGAAAGAGAGAGAGAGAGAACAAGAGAGAGAGAGAGAAAAGAAGAGAGAGAGAGAGAGAGACAGAGAGCGAGAGAAAAAATGGACAGAGAGAGAGAGAAGTAGAGATAGAGAGACATAGAGAGACAGAGAGCAAACCAAGCACAGCAGAAAGAGTGTGGAGCAGACATCGGTCGCCCTCCCCCCGCACCCTCAGGCAACGACCACCCCGACGCGCTCCTGAGCGCGCACAACCTGGCGAACGCTCTGCAGGCGGCTCCGCCTGTACGCTGCGAGGGATGTCGCAGTGTCGTAGTCGTAGTCGTCGTAGTCGTCGTCGTCGTCGTCGTCGTCGTCGTCGTCGTCGTCGTCGTCGTCGTCGTCGTCGTCGTCGTCGTCGTCGTCGTCGTCGTCGTCGTCGTCGTCTCTCTCTCTCTCTCTCTTCCTCGTCGTAGGTCGCACGCGCCCTCCTGTTGCTGATTCGCTTCCTCCTTCCTTCCTTCCCCCCCCCGCGCTTGCTCCAGCTCCTGCTCTCCTCGTTGCCCCGCTGTGGCTTCGGTTCTCCTGCCTGCCTCCCTGCTGATCTTTCTTGGTTATTCCGCTGGTCCATCCATGCACCCCGCGGCGGTGACGGCACCACGAGGGTCCTGCCTTCGGGGCCAACTGGAGCGACCCCCCAGCAGGAGTCGCTGTCTTCCTTCCAGGTTGGCCTGGGCTGGCGGCCGTCGCAGGGACGGGATTCAGTTGCCGTACAATTTTGTATGCTTTGTTCTTGGATGTGGCTTCGTAGGTCGTCACAGTGTTCTGGGTCTGGGCCCTGGCCCTGTCATCCTCATCCAGCCTCCCCCTCTCCCTTGGCATTCTCTCCGGCCGTTGCCTTTGCTGCCTCCTCCCTGGGTTTGGATGTCGCCGTCTGCAGCGGCAATGAAAGCATGGGGAGATGAGGATGGAGGAGGGGAGCGATAAGAGGGGAAGTGTGGAGTGGATGGGGCAGGCCAACAGGGGACGCATGGGGGGTCGGGGGGGGGGGGCAAGGATTTCCCTTCGAAGTGGATGAGACGGCGGACGGCGCTCGGGCGTCCACGTCTTCTTTTCGGCGACGCGCGAGCGTAGAGTTTTGCCAAGGTGCACCGGACGGGGCCCGCAGCCAGTTCGGCTCCAGCTTCGGCCCGCGCATCCGCTGGCCACCAGCCAGCAAAGCCCCTTGGACCAAGTAACTCCGTGGGCCCCTGATGACGGTCCTGTCGCGCGTGGTTGTGTCGGTTGCCCTGGTCGCCTCCTCGGCAACCGCCTATGTGGCGCCAGTGCCACGCGAGGCCGCCCTTCAGCGTTCCGTCGCCTCGGCGGTCCAGCAGCAGCCGACAGTCCTCGTGGAGGAGCTCGTGGAGGAGCCCGCGGCGGACAGCAACGCCTCTGGGGCGATGCTTGGAGCGGCTGTGGCCAGCATCGTTGGAGCGGTGGTCGGCTGGGTGCGTTCCAACAAGGAGAGGGCCGCCAGCGCCGCTGCAGCGTCGGCGGTGGCGCTCGTGGCTTCGGCTTCGCCGGCACTGGCAGAGGTGGACTATGTCAACATCGAGTACCTGGGCGGCAGCAACAAGGTGGACATCAACAACGCCAACATCATGGCCTACCGACAGTTCCCTGGCATGTTCCCGACCGCGTCCGGCTGGATTGGCACGCACGGCCCGTGGGAGAAGGTGTCGGATATGTTGAATGACCCCGAGCTCCCCGACAACCTGAAGCAGATCATCCAGAAGTACGAGAAGAACTACGTTGCCTTCCCGGCCAACCCGGCCTACTTTATCGACCGCATCAACAACGCGATGTACCGCTGAGCTCGCGCAGTCTGGATCTCCCTGCGTCGCTTCGCGCATATATGGCGAAGATTTAGCCAAGTCCACGGCAGGCACCTGATACAGGAGGCTTTTTGAATAGAGACGCCAGCTCCGATCGCCAGAAGAGGCGGGTCGCTGTAAAACAGAAGGTGGGCTGAAGCGGGGGGGACTGCAGGGACCGGCGAGGGTGGACGATACTCGCGCAAGGCTCAGCTCGTTCCGGCCCCGCCGCCTGGCGTTTTGCCGGATAGCTGGGTTCCTCGATATTTACCAGGGCGCCAGGCAAGCGAGCTGCATGTGTCGATTCGCTAAGCCCTCCCCCCTGTACTGTCCACTCCTTTTCCCGACCGATCCTCACCAGACCCACCCGCTGATCTTCTCCCCGCACGTGCCTCTCGTCGGACTGGGCGTCGGGCGGACCCTGGGGCTGGGCGTACAGTCAACCCGCGTAGTAAGGATGAGCAGTTTTCCAAGGTTGCCCTTGCATCCTTCCCCTTCGGCGCCCCGCCCGCTCAGTGTCGACATGGCCTTCGGGCCTTACAGCCTCATCGTGCGTCTTTATCATACGGGTGGACTGTATGAGCAGCAGCAGCAGCAGGCGCATGGGAAGTAGGAGGAGGAGGAGGAGGAGGGGGAGGAGGAGGAGGAGGAGGAGGAGGAGGAGGAGGAGGAGGAGGAGGAGGAGGAGGAGGGAGGAGGAGGAGGAGGAGGAGGAGGAGGAGGAGGAGGAGGGGGAGGAGAACACCCACGCCCATCCCAGCCCCCAGGGTGCGCCGCAGAGGCTCTCAGGCCGCCAGGGTCTCGGCCCTCTGGCAGGCTCACCTCTCGCCCCCTTGCGCGCAGGCGGACGGCAAGCTGGCCGAGGCGGAGGCACTCCACCGAGAGGCGCCCCGCAAGGGGGGGTCGCACCGCTGCGGCGGCGCTGGCACGGTGTGGGAGGGCATCGAGTGAGGAAGCCTTCCTCCCTCCATCCTCGAGGGGAGTAAGATTGAGGAACTGAGCAAGTCTGTTCATCCCGTTCGCCCAGCATTCTCGTTTCGGGGTGAGGAGCAGAACGCCTGCTCGTCCTGAACAGACCTTCTGTTTCCTCACCCCCCAAACGCCCCAAACCTCGATTCGTCCTCAGGACGGATCGAGGGCGGATCGAGGTTTTGCACTTCTTTGAGCCTCTGGAGGGCGCAATTTCTAGGATCGAGGGCGCCGCTATTCCCTAGCAGCATGGCGCAAGAGGATTCTCTACGAGTGGCCAAACAGGGCCACAACAGAACCCCGCATGGGGGGAACGGGGCGGCCACCGGACCGCCCCCCCAGAGACCGCCTGGTCCGGCAACCGTTCTTGTTAGTTTTTCTTAGACCGAACACTTGATCTCGGCGTCGCACCGCCCCCACCGTCCCGTCGCCCCGACCCTTCTCCGATTTCTCGTCCTCTCTCTCTTCCCCTCTCCTCCTCCTCCTCCTTCTCCTCCTCCTCTCCCTTCCTATTCCCTTTTGCATTTTTTTGTGAAAGAGCCACGGCACGCTTGCCACTTTTTGAAGACTGGTGATCTCGCCTTAACGCGGGCCGCCTTCTTGGCCCGGACGGCCTCGATCCTTGGAATCACACACGCCCACAATGAATTGCACATGGCCATGTTCTCCACTGCTGTCTCCTACAGCCGACCTCTCCTGCTCCTCGACCCGCCTCTTCACCTTCGCTTCTCTTGAGAGCCGTTCTGGCCCAGGTGATTTTGGGCTTTTCTAATTCTGATCTTCAGAGCGGCACGCACTGGCGGGCCAGTGAGATTCCCATCCCATCAAGAACCGGTTGCCATGGCTCCGCAGGGCCAGCAGGCATGGCGTGCTTGGGAAAACCGTCCCAGTGGCTACAAGTATCGCATTAAGGATTATGATTCCTCGGACGTTCCATGGAGGCCGTCAGGACCATTTCGCCCCGAGGAGTCGTCAGGAAAATGGGCTTGCCCGTGTTGTACGTGCAAGCTTAATAAGCTTTTTCTGGACGCATTGTAAGCATTGTGGTGCTCCTCGCGGCGCTGATGGCGGCGTGGAGCTGGCGCTCAGCGACTTCCTTTTGCTGCCCGCGCACCAGGCCGCCGATGGAGCCCAGGCTCCAGTCCCGCCAGGCCGTGTGGGCGTTGCCCCAGAGCTCGGCGTCGCGGAGCTGGAGCAGGCGATCGCGCTCCTCTGCAAGGCAGAGAACAAGCAGCTCGCCGAGCAACACCAGAAAGAGCTGGACCTGTGCCGTGCCCCGGGGCTTTCTGCCCAGCATCGCGCCCAGGAGGCCGACGGCCGCCGACCGCGCTGCGAGCACAGGCTCGGGAGAGAGCTCGCGTTCGCGGAGAAACTCCAGGCCCAGCTCGGCAACCAGCAGCCGACAGTCTCCACGGCGCTGCAGGAACTCGACCGCGCGGAGCAGGACCACAATATCTGGCTTGGGCTGACGCGGCTGGGAAGGAACTGATGAATTCTATACAAGTGGATATCCCCTGCAATGGGGCCCCGTGGCAAGACGCCCGCCCCCCCCCCCACTGGGTTCCGCTCCTCAGGCCGAGTCAGCCTAAGCAGTCATCGGGCCCAGCTTCCGCTGCAATGTGGACTGTCGCCAAGTTTCGCGCCTTCCTGCAGATCGCTGCGACTGATCCAGTGTTGCAGCGCTGTGAAGACATTCTGAGTCTTCGCCGTCAGTCCCCCAAGCTTGTCGCCAAGCACCCCGGGGATTGCTGGGTTCTGCTCGCGGAGGCGACGATTTTCACGGCATCGAGGCCCGCGTTCGATTGGGAGAAGGGCCACGACGTGCTCGCTCGGACCGACGACGCGCCCCAGGGGGTCATCGCGGCCGATCGAACTCGAAGCAATCAGGAATGACGGAGTTTCATGTTGGACATGGAGGTAGGAGTGCGCATTTGATCACCTAGGGGCCCGAACCTTGGAAACCGACGATTACGCTTTCTTCGGAAGGATGCGTCTGGGCTGACCTCCGCTTCGCTGCTGGAATCGGGGGCTCGTCGGTTATCGTCGCCATGGATGTCTTCGTCGGTCCCGCTCGCGAGGGAACAGACCTTCGCGCCGATGGGCGCCTGGATCTCTGTTGGTTCCGTGCGAGCGAAGGGCTGCACGTACGCCTCGCGCGCAGCGGTTTCGATGGATGGGCTTCACATGGCGCTATGCATGCTTGAGCGACCAGTGCCTGTCTGTTCTTATTGCTACGATGCAGATCATGGAGCGATCAGAAGTGGCGCCAAATCAGCTGCGCGTTATTCGCACCGCGTTGCTGGCCAAGCCAGCGGGGGCAGACCGTCCCATGGGCATCTTTGTCTCGGCAATTCCGGTTGCGGGGCCGCTGTCGCAGGGGCCATGCATCCAAGTGGGCATAGGATAACGCCCGGCAGTAATTTGCAAACAGATACTTTGCCTCGGCATCCGACACGGAATGGCGCCAGGCTTTTCGTTCGGAAAATGCCATGAGGAATGGTGCCACGGCGGCGACTGCTCTGGGATCTGCGCGCATTTTACGAGCTGATCGACTTGAATGCGTTGTACGCGCGTTGCTTGTATTGCGTTCTACCAGAGCCCTCGGTTCATCGATGCGTGGGAGGGGTGGTTACCTGTCCACACTGCCCTCTACGAGGGCTTGTGGCTGGCTACCAGATGTCTGTTGTGCTTATTCGCGTATTCGTGGTAACCAGTGGCGCTAATTTCATGCGTTGCGTTCCACGTAACATAGTTCTAGACATCTGCATCGATGACTCTGGGATTGCAGGCCACGGGGATCTTAAGGCAGTATCCACAGGTATTGTCATGTAATCGCGCATGATCTACGGTGTTACCATCAATGAGTAGGCTGCAAGGTATCGGCTGACAAGGATGCGTTCGTGGTCTCGTCCGCTAAGCTCGCAGGAAGTACTCGTAATGCTCTGGGTGGTCTAGCGGGGCCACCGGGCATCTCTGCTTCTAATTTGGGTTGCGACGACTCACGCTGCAACGTTTTCCCGCTTGCAGGTCTCAGACACCCAAGCTCCGCGTCGCCCCCCGGAGCAGAAGCTGGCCAGATTGAGGAAGCGCAGGAAAGTTTTAGGATGTTTCGCCGGGCGCATTTCTGATTCGGGCCCCTTTACCTGGAGTCGTATATGGAAACGGAATCAGGAAATTCTCGGACCATAGGCTGCACTCTGCGAGACGGGCCTTTGGGGCATCGTGTCATCCCAGCGCTGAGCAGCGCCCCCTCACGAGCTTGCTCCTACTCGGTCGTGGCCCGTGCTATGGCGCCGCGGTGGGCCCGATTGCGCGCTGCGCCAAGGAGGCGTGGGCCGCGCGAACAAATGCTTGCCCCCGCTGTTTCAGTTTTCCAGCAGTTGCGAGAAGGCGGGGAGGAGATTGTCGGCAATGAAGACCTGGGAAATAAATCCTTGAGGGCCGTTAGTAGGCCCATTTCGGCGATATAATTTTCCCTTGAGCGCACCGGCTGGAAAATGAAATCTTTCGTGGAGCTGGTCGACGATTTCGGAGGCGTGGTCCCCCTCACTTTGTGCAGCCCAGCTTTCGTCAATAAGGCGCTCCGCCAGGCGTTCTGAGATCCTGGGGGAGAGACAGCGCCAAGTCGCCCGCAGCCGCCCGCCGCCGCTACGGCCAGGCGCGCGATGCCTCATGGAGCAAGGGTTTCTCACCGCCCCCAAAGGGGCCGCGTCAAAGCCTTGTGCTGCGATGCCGCGTGGACGAAGGAGGTTGCAGTTAAGCGTGGGTATCAGTTGGGGTGGAGCATCGGCTGTATTCTTGTTTGGCTCGCTCTCAGGAGCGCGAGTAATTTTCCGAGCGTTTCAAGGATAAACGGCCCGACGTGCCCAGCGTGGAAATCCAGGACCCAGACGCCAGACTATTATTCCTGAGGGGCTTGTTCGAGCACCCGGGAGATGCGTGCCCTCGTCCTTCGAACGCTTGTGGGTATATGGTGGGCAGGCCACGGGGAGAGAATGAGGGCCCCATTTGGTGCGAGGTCCAGGGTGATTTTTTTCATCGATGGATGTTGTTCTAACCATCTGGTTCCTGAGCTGTCCAGGGGAGTATGGGGGTTCGTTGTTTACCACGAGGACCGCGAAGTTGGCTGTCTTGCCAACGGCCCTATATGGGCTCCGAACCCGCAAACGCCC